GTACCATTTACTCTGAGACGTACACTGAAGTTATACTTCCGTAGTGGTATTAGTTGGTGGTGACAACAAGCAGTTACAGAGCTCGGTGTGTTCCTGTCACTAAGTGCTGCCCATATGTTAAGCGACTTAGCCTTCAGGACAACTCGGTGTCAGGTGGTATTAGTCCCAGTTTGCCGGTGAGCACATTAAGGTGTGAGAACATTCAGACACGAGGCTAGTCAGTGGTGGAAATGAGATTCAGATCCCAGCAGCCTGGCTTTTCACTCTGTGCTCCTACTCAGAGTTCTAGTTTTCCCAAACTACAAGCCTGAAAAATTAAGTCGCGGGCCAGCCAATGGCCTGGCGGTTAGCGTCAGATCCATCGTGGAAGTGTAATCTGATTATTTCAAGATCCCTCTCGTTGCTCCTTGGGGTGGGTCTGTGCTCTGGCTACTGCTCCCTTAGGAGACTGAGTGACTTGTCCGTTTTTGGACTGGGTCAGAATTTTGCCACGCCTCCCAGTCCAGTGAACTGAGAATTCTCACATTTATGGGTTCTCAGATCAAGTGGTAAGAGTAAAACATGCAGTAATTCAAGCACTGTGTCAGTATTCTTCTGTCACAGGGATAAAGCTGATCTAACTATCATTATTTTGGATTTACTATAGGGTGTGTGTGCTTGCCAGAGAGGGAAAGTGAGAAGGCACCCGTTGGGGGGAGGCGGAAGGCCACACTGCAGTCTCTTCTCCACTCTCCTTTTGAGATATTATTAATCTGAGACGGACCGTAGGATTTCCCTTGAAGGTGAGGTCTCAGAGAAGCACTGGCATGGACTACACATCTTCAAATACGAGGAATAAAGCAGGCGGAGAGCTGGAACTGAGGCCCTCAGTGTTCAAGGTAGCTGCTTCCTGTGGAAACTTGACCATGTGCTGAGATGTGTGTGTGTGTGCAGGACCAGTTCAGAGCTGGTTCCTCCCCAGCCTCCCTTCCCCTTTGATACAAATCAGCTTTAAAGAGGATTGTCTTATCTTAAGCTGTAACCACTTCAAAACTTGGTCATCAATATGGTGCCATAACAAATGTATCCAGTACTTAACAGGAAATGTGATCGTCCGGCTTCTCTAGAAACATTGAAATCCGTGTCCCTAGGCTTCCAGTTCTTCATGCAATGATCTTCAGGATCAGAGGGGTATTTTTTTTTAAGAGAGATTTTTTGCTATAGGGTGCGTGTGCTCACCAGAGTGACAGAGAGTGACAGAAAGACAGAAAACAAGAAATCACTCCCCAAATGGTGCTGCTGGAGTAGGTGCTGCTACAATTCCATGGGGGACACTATTAATATCTCCCTTGAAGAGGAAAAGTTTTGAGATTAAGTAACCAGTGTAGAAGTTACAGCAAGCAAAGATTTCTGAAACCACAAGGTGCTGCAGGGCACACAGAACTGTGTTAGAAATGCTGGTCTCAACACCAGCAGATGGCGTAACGGTTATGTCGCTGGACTCCCACGTAGCCGACCGCAGTTCGAGTCCTGAACCTGGCAGGTTAAAACTCACGCTGGACATGTGTGCTTGAGTGCCCAAGATCCCGAGAGAAGAGTGAAGAAGGGATTCCAGCATGACCATCGCCCCCTCACCCCAGGGGGCAATTTCCCGCTTTGTCTCTCTGGTGAGCACACACACCCTATAGCATAAATCTCTCTAAAAAAAGGAAGAAGAGAAGAAATGCTGGTTTTAGTTAGTGTGGCCCAGTGAGTTTCTCTCCGCCAGTCTGGAATGACACTTACCTTCCCATGTGACAGGCCATTGTTCAGTTCTACTTTCAGATTTGAAACAGCCTCGGCATTTCTGCAGGATGGTTTCTGAGTCCTCAGTTCACTGATACAGTTTCAAGCATTAGCACAGTTTGGGTTTGGGCAGCGTCCTCCGTTCTTTCCATTCCATCTACCATTTTTTAACTCTTGCCTTTTTTCCTTGCGTAAACAAACTGTCCTTTTCCTGGTCAGTACTTTTCTCCTCCCCGCCACCCCGTCACGATGGTAAACAGTTCAGGTGGTCGTAGGATATTCTGTTAATGCGAGTGAGCTTGAACTCAGAAGCAGAGGCATTTCTGGAAAAGTGTGGGTAGCCTGAGTCTCGTCTGCATGCGCTCTGGGGATGTGCTATTTACAGGAGACCCGAGGTGGGTTCTCTTGGAAAATGAACAATCTTCTGTCTTCTCAAAACAGCTCATTTGTTTTACAGCTTTTCTGTAGTTGAAGAAACTCATTTATAATTTGTCTTAAGTATTTAATAAAATATTTAATCAAAAAAATAAATTTCAGAAAGTATCAGAGCCAAGTCCTCCATTTTAAAATTTGTATTTCATTATTTCACGCCTGTCAAGCTACGTGTCCTTCGAGACGCAGACTGGCTCCTGTGTGTTCTCTGTTCACGAATCGCAGTGGAGACAAGGCTTTATTGTCTCTATTTGAGAAACCTTGGCAAACTGATCCTCAGCCATGCCCTGGCAGAGCTCAGTATTCCCCAGCTCAACTGATCTTTCGCCACAAAACTCTACCAATAAATGCCTTTCCCCATTTTCCAAGGAACGAAAATTGCTAGAATCTGAGCGTGTGCATGTGTGTGCGTTTATTATCAAGGACATTAGCAATGTTTGAACTTTTTCAGTAAATTGGGCAATTGATATTAGAGGATGTAAAGAGGCTGAATTTTTAGTTAATATTCATATGCTCTGCTGCTTATCCTTCATAGCAAACTAATGTTAATGGAATTCCTGAAATAGCTGTTCATTAGATTAATTGCCTCTTGTACTTGTTTTTCATGAACACTTACTAATGGTTTTATAACATACGTTTACCAACTGTTTTCATGAAATAGTGTATATGTATGTTTGTGTGTGTATGTTTATGTATGTATATGCCCCAATACACACACACACACACACACACACGCAATATTTACATGGGACACTGAGTAAACAGCTCAGGAGTGTGACTCTCAGAGGCTGAGGGGAAGCTGAGCCTCACGGCACACCGGGCCGGCAAGCACTGTGCACGGCTGGGGAGCCGTGTTGTGAAGGTGAGCATTGTGCACGGCTGGGGAGCTGTGTTGTGGAGGCGTGTGCTGCGCACGGCTGGGGAGCCATGTTGTGAAGGTGCGCGCCGTGCATGGCTGGGGAGCCATGTTGTGAAGGCGTGCACTGCGCACGGCTGGGGAGCCGTGCTGTGAAGGCGTGCGTCGTGCACGGCTGGGGAGCCGTGTTGTGAAGGCGTGCGCCGTGCACGGCTGGGGAGCCGTGTTGTGAAGGCGTGCGCCGTGCACGGCTGGGGAGCCGTGTTGTGAAGGCGTGCGCCGTGCACGGCTGGGGAGCCGTGTTGTGAAGGCGTGCGCCGTGCACGGCTGGGGAGCCGTGTTGTGAAGGCGTGCGCCGTGCACGGCTGGGGAGCCGTGTTGTGAAGGCGTGCGCCGTGCACGGCTGGGGAGCCGTGTTGTGAAGGCGTGCGCCGTGCACGGCTGGGGAGCCGTGTTGTGAAGGCGTGCGCCGTGCACGGCTGGGGAGCCGTGTTGTGAAGGCGTGTGTCGTGCACGGCTGGGGAGCCGTGTTGTGAAGCAGCGCAGACATCACACAGTCCCATCTCTGCTTTAGCATTGTTTCCTGGCCTTTAGGATGACTTAATAAGTTTCCCAGTTCCTGGTGCTCTGTTTCCTCGTCACCAAACGGCACTGGGACTGTCCAGCTCTTCTCCTTCCTGAGCTTGTGGAAGTAGAAAGAGGGCAACAGACCTCCCGGGATCTGGTGGGTGGGTGACTCGGCCTCTTCTGAGTGCAGCCAGCGCACTTCCTGTGAATGCTCAGTGCCCTCGGGGTTCGGAGGGGAGAGAGCGAGCAGGCCGTGTTTGCTCCCCACGGTTCTGCAAAGCTCTTGGTTGAACGGGAGCTGAGCTGCCTCTAACGGCCTGTTCCTTCTATCTCGTTCACGCATTTGCCTCTCCTACTCTCAGTGACAACCAGACGCACTTAAATACATGAGCTTTAGCTCAGCAGTGGCACGGGAGTGAAGGTGGCGAGACCCCACAGAGGTGGTGCGGTTGGAGTCCCCGACCCAGCGACCTGAAAAACACTGGGCGGAGCATGTATGGGCGTACCCCCACATCTGGAGAGGAGCGTGGAGAAGGGATTGAGCATGGCCGTCTCCCAGTGGGTGCTTTCTCGCTTTCCCTCTCTGCCCCTTTCTGGTGGATGCATGTGCCCTATAGAGGAAAAAAAAAGCTTCAAAGCATTTCTTAAATATTTTAAAAAAATGTAAAACTTTACTTTCTTTTATTTGCATTTGAATAATGTATTCTGCTTCTAGGACAGTAGTAGAACTGTGATGTGCTTAGTTAGGAGGGGAAAGAAAGCGCGGAGTTCTCAGATCCTAGCTTGGAGACACAGCCCTGCCATGGACCCAGCTCCCTGAGCAAGTGCAGGTCATTGTTAAGCCAGTCAGTAAAATGGGGCTGCTGACACCTGTCCCATCTCCTCAGAGTTGAACTGAAAGTGAAAGATCTTATGTATAAAAATGTCACCTTTCACAGCACAGGTAAGTACAATTTGTCGTGTTAAAAATGTCAGTGGGATACCGAGTGTCTGCCCTCTAAAAAAAAAAATATATATATATACATATATATATTTGAAACCATACTGCTTCTGTTGTTATAGAGTTATAAAATTATACAAAATTATAAGACATATTTTGAACATTATCTTTAAAATTCAGTATTTTGAAATTTTGAAAGTTGTTTCTAAACTGTCAAGAATGATGGAGTATGAGCTAAAATTTTTTGCTATGTAAAGTAAATGTTTGTGGAAAAATGTAAAAATAAATAAATGAAAGAAAAAAAATAGAGAGTTAAAAAAAAAATGTCAGTGGGTTTTCTAGTCCCAGACGGTCGCTAGCAAGAACTCTGATCGCTGGGAGTTCGGGAGCGCCCTTTCCAGTTGCCCTGAGCTCTGTCCTGTGTTCCACCTCCACCTGCAGAGTAACCTGATACACTCCCTGGGCCTGAGCCACCATCTTCTGGCGCTGAATTTCATCATCGTTTCTTTCGGCAAGAAAAGCGCATGGTCGTCTGCCCACGTGAAGGTGACGGACACGGATTTCGGCGGCGTGGAGGTCAGGGTGTTCGAAGGCTCTGCGAAGCCTGGAGAGCGGCTGAAACGCGGTGTCGTCTATATCCACGGAGGGGGCTGGGCCTTGGCGAGCGCAAGTACGTCCCGGTCACCTTCAGAGGGCTGGGTGTGCAGGGTGGCCCTGGGAGGCGCGGCCCGGGATTCGGTTTCTTAGTGAATACAGAGGAGAGGAGAGGAGCCCATTTGTTCGTTTTGTTTCCCCTGGACAGGCCCAGTTACCCCTGTTACCCCAACAAAATGATTAATAACACCCTCTTTTCACTCTCTAAAGGCCCTTCGGTGGTTAATACACTGTACGGTCACCCTCTGCAGCACTTTTTTTTTTTTTTTTTTTTTTTTTTTTTTTAAGAGAGAGGTTTTTGCTATAGGGTGTGTGCGCTCTCCAGAGAGACAGACAGAAAGCGAGAAATCGCCCCCCAGGGGGGGTGGCCATGCCACAGTCCCTTCTCCTCCAGTCTCCTCTCAGGATCCTGGGTTGACTGTGTGGGTGTCCAGTGATGAAACCATTATGCCACCTGCTGATCCTTTTTGTTGTATGTCTTTCTATAAAACAGAACAAATATTTTTCTCTTTGTTTTTAGTAAGAGAAAGAAAGAGAGGGAGAAGGGGGTATTTCTTTGTTCATGATACAGTATGTGCGTGTCCACGTGAGAACAAAAGGAAGGCAAGCCTCCTCCACAGGGTCAGCCACACTGAGTCCCCTCCAGGCCCCACCACTGTTCCTGGCCATGCGTGTGTGTGCTCCCCGAGCTGCAGGGGGGCCTAGATTTGAACCATGGCTGCCATGTGGGATCCCCCTGAGCAGGAAATTACTTCTGCACCATGGAGCTGGCCCAGAGGTAGGATCTCGCCTTGCCGTGGCCCCTGCCCCGGCCTCCCAGTGGGCTAGGGTTACAGCCACACGGTCTGCACCGGCCCATTTAGGTTGTGTCCGGGAACTGGACCTGGGCTTTGGGGTGAGGGGCTCCCACACAGTCCGAGCCGCACCTCACACAGGGGTGCCTGCCACTTGTGGGATAATGATTCCCACTGTGGTTTTCTGGGGCCAGGTTTTTTTTTTTTTTTTTCCCCAAAGAATTATTTTATTCAACTTTATTTATTTATTTTAATTTGACCAGAGAGGGACAGAAAGAGAGAGAGACAGACAGATAGAGAGACAGAGAGAGAAAGCAAGCTGCCAGGTCCAGGACTCAAACCGTGGTACGGCTACATGGGAGTCCAGTGCCCCCAACCACCACACCACCTGCCAGCCCCTAGAACAGGTGTTTAACACAAATATTAACTCATCGATGTTTTATCTGCTGATGAAACCGAAGTTTAAAAGTAGAAGGTGTGCAGCTGTTCAAAGAAACAATCTTGCAAAGTTCAGGGATGTTTTCTTTAGCGTTGGGTAAGTCTGTCCGCGGTGCGCGGCGCCGGCCCAGGGGAGAGCTGAGTGAGGAGGAAGCCAGGGCCTCTTCTCTGTTGTAATCGCCACAGAGCAACTCAGCGTGCTTGGCGACTCCCAAGTTTAACTTGTCCTGTGTGTTTTTATCGTTGTATGATTATTTTTTTAGCATAGCAAAGGTCAGAAAGCACAGCTTTTCGACTTGCTTTACCTCCATCTCCATCATTTCTTCTTTGGTTTTAAATTTGCGATGGAGCACAGGAGTACACACGAGAAGGTGGCGAGGAGACGCGCACCCTCGCGGGGCCTGGGCCTGCCCGGTACTCCCTTCTAGCCCTGAGGCCCGCTGGGTCTTGGTCACATGCACTTGCACCCTTGTGACTCAAGCCGACTACGAGGGGTTCAGACCATGGTCTCCACGTGGGACCCAGCTTCTCCTGGGCAGCTCATTCCCACCGTGCTGTGGAGGCAGCTCTGCAGTTGCTTCTTTTCTTTGTTTTTAATTGCCAGAGGGTGCATGACCTTACCAGAGAGAGGCAGAGAGAGGAACAGAGAGAAAGCACCCCCAGGGGCATTGGCCCCTCTGCCCTCTCCTGCTCCGTCTCTCCATCTTGTTGGGACTTGGGGCACACACACACATGCCAGCCTTTTCCCACGCCACCGGGTCTGGGCTTTGAACTGCAGTCATCCAGGTGAGATCCAGCTCCTTTAACCATCAGGTGTGAGACCAGCCCCTACATTCACTTTCTAGTTTTTGTTTTTGTTGGCAATACCTTAACTTTGCATCTAGAAATTTCCACTTAGCGGAACTTAAGAGTGAGCAGCAGGATGCGGCCTGTTTTACAGCGACAGCTGCTCTCTCTTTCAGAAATCAGGTATTACGACGAGCTGTGCACAGCCATGGCCGAGAGACTGAATGCTGTCATCGTCTCCATCGAGTAAGTGATAAATCTCTTTGTTGTATTGTATTGTTTTATCACGATTTTTAAAAATTTCAGCAGAGTGTGCGTGCACTTGCTGGGGACAGGCGTGCTGTGGCGTGAGCAAGCACTCCCGTGGGGAATGGCCATGCTGCTCTCCCTTCTCCCCCGTTTCCTCCTCCTCTCAGAACTTCGGGTACGTCTACTCGTGCACCTGGTGTGTTTTTCAAGCCACTGGGTCTGGGACTGAAATTGTGCAGTTCGTCACCTGGGATCGTGCCTTACCCTCTACGCCACCAGCTGGCCAAATATCTTTCTTAAGACTTGTTCATTTATTTCTTCCATGAGAGAGAGAGGGAGAGGCACCCCAGCAAGGCCCTCATGTGGCAGGCCACCCCAGCCTGAGCCCAGCTCGGATCACAGACACATGACACCCAAAGCGTCTTAAGGAGTCTTGGGACAGGAACCGATGACCCTCCCGTGTGGGCCCATTGGCATTATTGCTGCACCCTACCTGGCTCTGCTGAGTAAGCAGTTAAGGCCAGTCACAGAGAGGTAAGCCAAGGCAGAGGCCCTCCTCATAGTCTGTTGGGATGCTGGAAAAGTCATGATGTATTTTTTCTGTGTTTCTATGACTTTTCTGACAACGCAATAGTTACTTAGAAGTGATTTTTTTACAAGTGTAAAATAAAGGCCCAAAGTGATGAAGTGATGGTTGAAGGTCACATGCAATGTAATCAGGAAAAAAAAATTCTTCGACTAGCTTTCTATTACTTCAAATTACCTTTTAAGTTTTAGAAACCTCTGGAAAAGGAATTAACTAATGAATAGAGAAATACACAGTTACCTGCAACATATAATTTTTGTGTATAAGTTTGTTTCTCTAAAAGACAGTGAGGCAGTCACCTTCCAGCAGGGCCTTCCCGTGGCAGCCCCACCTGGGCCAGCCCAAATCACAGCACACACCTGTGTACGCGGTGTACACGGGGAGGCCTTGGGACACCGACGCAGGACCCGTGTGGCTCGGTATCACGGAGCGCAGCGTCACATCTGTGCCACCATCTGGCCCCTGGTGACGCTCGATACTATTTTAATCTAAAAAGGAATCTGGGTTTTGAGAGACTCTCCTCCAGTCAAGAATTGGACAAGTTATTCTTTAGACTCGGATTCTGTAACTTGGACATTGAGAGTAGAAATACGTGTTCAATAAATCTTTTCTTTTTTCTTTTTTTGGAGAGATTCCCGCTATAAAGTATCTGTACTTGCAGGAGAGACAGGAAGCGAGAAATCAGCCCCCAGAGGGGATGGCCATGCCACAGTCCCTTCTCCTCCATTGTCTCCTTGGGATTTTGGGCACGCACATGCATGCACCCACTGTGAGTTTTAAGCCACCGGGACTTGAACTGTGTTCGACCATGTGGGAGCCAGTGGCATAACCATTATGCCATTTACTGATCCCTCAACAAGGCTTAATGGTGTCATTATTATTAACTGTAGTAATATTAATATTTCGGTTGTCTACCACTTCTTTAAAGTCACTTTCCTGGGGAACTAAGGGGATTATAGTGAGTGGAGTGGGAGTAACCCAGACGCCATGGCGTCCACTCCTGCGCTGGGGTGCTTTGGCAACAGCATCCTCCCTTAAGCCTTCCTTCAAGCGTCTTCCCCCCAGCCAGGCCTTCTTTGACAACTCTGTGTAAAAGGGCAGCCCACTTTCCTCTGCCTTCTTTGTCTCCACAGCCGTCATCACTATCTGACAGATCATATATTGAACTTACTATCAGTTCATTGTTGTAGGTGGAAATAATCAGGGAGAAATTCTAGGGAATTTTGTCTGTTTCATTCATTGCTGAGTCGTTAGTGCTTGGAAACTAACCGTTCTTGGCCTATAGTGGGCATTTAATAGATATTTACAAAATAAGGAGATGAAGAACTTTGTTTAATTTTTTAAAATTTAACATTATCTATTTATTTTTAAAATTGACCAGAGAAGGACAGAGTGAGTGAGTGAGTGAGTGAGTGAGAGAGAGAGAAGGAAAGTGAGAAAGCAAGCCAGGTGAGTCCTGGTCTGGGACTCAAACTGTGGTCAGCCATTTGGGAGTTCAGCATTCTTAACCACCCACGCCACCTGTCTCCCTTCTTGCTTAATTCTTATATGAAGCACCCAGGATAAGTATTTTTGATAAATATTCTTCATAGACAAGGACCGAGAAGCTGAGGCAGGATAATCGCTGGGCACAAAGAGGGACTGGGTTAGTGAGCCAGGGAGACAGCTCCGATACCCCGCTGCCTTCTGTCCGAGTATCAAGCCCATATTAAAGGAAGCCGATCATGGTGAGCCGGGCTGACCATGGCCACCGCCTCCCATGCCCCGGGCACATCCAGTCCTCCCTTCCCTGTGAGTCATCTGTCAGCGATCCTCTTATGCCTCTACAAGATCTGAGATGGAGGAGACCCCTCTCTTCTGCACTTTCTTGGAAGGGCTGTTGGCCGAGTCACTCGGACAGTCTGAGCTGGTGGACAAGAGCCCTACAGCCCCACTGAGTGCTGCCGTGGCTACCTCGCCGGCAGGTCTGGCCCCGGGCAGCTGTGGACAGCTCCCAGGCCTTACTGGACTCTCCATGCGCCTCCCAGGTCGCTCCGAGGCCATTGGTGCACCCCTGTAATACCGGAACCTCCATCAGGGCTGTGGCAGGAAGCCTGGGCAGCTGGTCAGAGGAAAGCTGGGGCAGTTTCAGCCCATGGTGGAGCAAGGTTCTGTGGCTCAGCGTGCAGAAACGAACGTCGAGGCCCTCGGTGGTTTCCTTTGTCCCCGGTTCCTCGCCGGGAAAAGGGGAAGCTGGCTTGTTTCGCTGGGTCATGAGATCCGCCCCTCAGGACGTGCCCCCAGGGCTTCAGCATCAGCTCTGGCGGCCTGCCCTGATCTCTCCTGCCTGCTCTTCTCCATCCACCTTCCTCTATCGCAAATAAGCCAGTGTCCTTTCAACTCTGTTTATAACACACAGGAGGATGGATAAGGTGTGTTTTGTTTTAAATTTTTAATTAATTTACAGTCATTCCCTGAGCATCGTCACAGCATACGAAATGTGATTTTCCATCCAGAATATACTGCGTAGTGGCTTAATCGTACATGTCATCGTCAGTAATTTTCCGTTTCATTTTAAAACAACCGAAACAGAAGGTACCACTGTCATCGTAACTTCTCGTTGTGCCTAATCTACACACCAGAGCACCTAGAAGTCACCACCTGGGTGGTATCACAGTGCAGCTCCTGGGTCTCCTCTGTGGCCTAAGGACCGTCATTCAAACTCACTTGCGGGGTGGGGCCAGATGACTGCCCTGCGTGCAGAACGTGGGCTACCGGGGATAGCAATCATGTCTTCTGTGCTTGGGGCCAGCACCTGGTGCTAGGCTTAGGACGTGCATGCTTCGTAGGTGCTTGTTGAGTTGGGATAATGACTCAGACTTGTTCTGAGAATCAGTTCAATTAATATAAAAGCTCTAAAGCTCTAGAAAAGCCTGGAGGTTTAGTGACCTCACCTATAGAATGGAAAGGTCAACTTACAGGGCCAGTGGGAGGCGTGGTGGTTAGGATGCTGGAATTCCCACATGGCCCACTGCGGTTCAAGTTCCGGACGTGGTGGCTTGCTTTCTCCCTCTCCCTCTTCCTCTCTCTCTCTCTCTCTCTCTGTCGTCTCTTTCTCTGGTAAAACTCATGTGAACATAATAATAAATACATATTTTTTAAAGGTCAGCTTACCAATTTATTTATCAATGTGTGTTTGGAACCCATAGCACCTTTTTTCATGCCTCCCTTCTCCCAAAACAATGAGCCGAGGTGGTTCAGATCCCGGCAAGCCCACAGGGAGCGTTCAAACCTCGCTGTAGTTGAAGTCTAGCCAACGCCCTATGATCCTGCTTCTCTTGGGAAGTGTGTCCCAACGCCTGACTCGGGAATCCCTTCCTTCTCACTGCTCCACCTCTCTCCTCTCTGTTTTATTCCACACATATTGATTGTCTTCTTATTCTGTGTAGACTTCTGGTCACTTGAGAGTGTAAGATAGATGTACTTCCGGCTTTCAGAGGCTTTATAATCCAGTCGAGGAAACAAACGTTGAGCCAGTTACATTACACGCGGTGAGCGATGTGAAGTGCTTCGAGTCATGGACACACCTGGTAGGTGAGATCTCACTGGGGCTGAAAGACCAGAACAGGCATCTTTTAAAAAGCAGTGTCTGGACTGAGCCTCTAACTAGCAGGACCTGTCTAGGCAAGTGATTGTTCCTGGGAGTCTGCAGTGCTGTGGGGGGAGGAGAGGACCAGAGAGCATTAGGAGAATGGAAGAGGAGCCCGGGCAGGCAGAGGAACTTACACTTGGGTGGTGACTGACGGAAACAGACACAGGCTGGAGGGCCTGAGAGTCTTTGGACGCAGGGTGGACCCTTGCTTCTCCTGCAATGTCTCTTCCAGCAGAGAGGCCGCCTGGAGCCAGCTGTTCTTATCCTTAAGCTCACAGGGGTGGGTGGTGGTTTTGCGGCTCTGCCTTGTGTGGGGTGTGGCCTGGGGAAGACTAGTCCCAGGAAGCTGGTAGGAAAGGCTGGGGGCAGCCCTGGTAATGGCATCACCTCGCCTGGGTAAGCTCCAGAGGTTGGAGCTCCTTGGTTTATTATTGGTGCTGGCTCAAGGGAGTGGGGACGGGCCCAGCAGGCCAAGGTAGGTAAAAGACGCTTGTTATCAAAGTCGGCCAAAGCCATGCCTGCTAACTTAGTAGCTTCTGAAATGCCGTGCTGTTTCTTCATGCTAATTGTACAATAAGGAATTCATTAAATACATGAAAAAGTTTTAATTATTGTATTTCAGATATACCTGTGTATCCTCACTTAGGTAATCTAGGAGGGTTTTATTTCATAGTCATAAACTTTAGTATGGTTTAGCTACGACATGTCCTTTTTTTTTTTTTTTTCCAGCGGTTTTTGCTATAGGGCGTGTGCACTCGCCAGAAAAACAGAGAGAGACAG